CCCCCCCCCCCCTTCCTCCCTCTTTTCAAAGGCTACATTTCGAGGAATACATAAAACTGTATACCTGGAGATTTCAATACGCTGGACGACGTATCAGAAACCGCAAGGAAGAATGTGGGCCGAATCTACTTGAACTGTGGTGTAAGTGGCTATGTTTGACAGGTGACATCCACAGTTCCAGCCAGAGCGACTCGTCGGTCCTTGTTCACCTGGCCCTAGTTACTATTGCAGAAGCAGAATATGCCAGTAACGACCTGAAGTCAGGCAGACTCTCATTGGTCATTGTATACGTTCAACGCCTCTTTCAACACTCTGAGGTCATTTAAGAGGGGAGGCCTCCGAATTTGACGTCTGTCTCCGATAGGACAGAGGTAACGGTTACGGGGAGCCTTAAAACTATCGAAAACAGCCCAAAATGCCCCCCCCCCTCCCTTGGAGATCGAACCAGGGCGGTCCACTCTGCGGTACAAAATAATAACAACTGAGCTAAAGGTGCACCCAGACAAACTCTGGGTAAGGATAGACCATCTTGCTGATCGAGAGCGGGAAAGACGCACTAACTCCAAAGGTACATAGACTGGTAAATCCGTGTTTCACTAAAGCAGGTCCTCAGAATTTCAATGAAACCAACGCCATAGCGCTCTTCGAGAACACAGGTGACTACAGTGATTGAAACAAATCACAGGAATCGCACGCTTTCGTATGAATGGAAAAGTGCAGGCAAAAGTATGTCGAAATACTCTCCGAAAGACAAGCATACCCCAAGTCACAGTGTCGATTTCGAGCGAACAGATCCACAATAAAAATGGTGTTCTTCTTACGACAGCTGTATGAAAAGCGAGACTGAAAAACAAACTGATCATTGCATATTGCATTCATTGACCTAGCAAAAGCAGTTGACCTGGTCTGTGCCGAAAGACTCTGAACCATTTAATTGATTGGATACCCTTCGGCCCTCCATCGAATTATGTACACATTCCACAATGGCACAAAACACAGTGGCCTTTGAAGAAGTATTTTCGAAGGAGTTTACAGTTAATGTGAAAAGGCAAAGCCGGGAGGTCTCCTTGCGTCCCCCCCCCCTCGCAGGATTGATGATGATAGAACACCAATAAAAACACTCCTCTTTGAAGAACTACAATACAGAAGGAGAGGGAAGGACCCACTTCTAGCTATATACAGAAATGCCCCCCCAGAAGGACATTATCTTTAAAGGGATCAATTTTGGAATCTTGTAACAGTCGTCAAAAGATCGCAGGCAGTAGAATGTAGCATGAACACACAAGACCAGTCTCAAGATGAATGAAAAAGGCATAACAACGACGGAGTAAATGCAACATCGTAAGGGGCACAGAATGACGCACTAGAGGGCACAGAATAAATCATTTCCTTGAACTAATTGTCGTTTGCATCGTCAGGTCTGCATTGACCTACTTAGCGGCGTGCGTCAACATCACAGGACATAAAATATAGACAAAATACCATAAAATCGGGCTTATGTTCTGACGGAACAACATTGACTACTGTTCCAGCCCCATGAGCGTATATTTTCAGCAGCGCGAGTGCCTCCAACTGTTCCAAGAGCGTATATTCTCATTTTCGGGGGTAAAAAAATTGCGCATTTTTTAAAATTAGCGAATCTAATTAAATTTTAATCTTCATAACATTTGTTCATTTACCTTTAAACTTGGTTATATGCTGTTATCTAAAACTTATTACAAAGATACGACATCATTTTTAGAACGCGTGTCTCTTTTTCTGAAATACTGTTGTATTGGCTGGGAGTGGGGTTAGGGAGTGCAGCGAAATGGCCGGGGCTGGAAGGGTTAATCCAGTTCCAGACGAAAAGCAGCCATTTTTGTGCCAACTCGTCCTACCTTTTTCTGTACCACTGCTAACATGAAATCATAAATCAAACTTTGTAAACCTTGTCATGTCAAAAAGATTGCACCCGTCTACTGAAGAAAAGTACATAAAAGAACAGTTGGGCACTTATATGACCTAACTGTTTTGCAAGTGCCGTAACACTCTTTAAAAAAAAACCACAAAACAAAACAAAAATCACTTAAACCGGTCTCAACAACTAGGACCCCAGGCCAAATTTTGACAGCATTAATATCATACTGACCAGACAGGCACTGGAATTGAACCCGGATCGATGCCCTCGCCCTGATCCCGCTGTGACAATAGCGGCCCAACATGGCATCCAGGCCAAGGCTGGTGCACGCCTGTTGACCTTGGCAGAGGTCAAACAGCGTCCTGTTGGCGTCCGGCTCGCAGGCATATCTCCCGCTTCCACAAGTGACGTCAGAGATGGCTATCGACTGGCCGTCCTCGCATCGGAACTGGTGGACGTCTTGACAGACGTCGACCGTTTGGGCAGCATGGAGGCCTGTGAACGTGAGTGAACCTAATTAGATATGAAATATATGTGAGCGTGTGTGT